ACAGATAGAAATATTTTTTTTATTTTATGGGGGTAAAGACATCGTTAACGATGCTCGTGTCGGTCAACGACTTGCACAACAACGAAAGAGCTTTCACGCTTACAATCGAACATTAAAATAAGCATTTCTTTATATCGAATAAGCTCCGTCTAAAAAGTCCCAGCATCGCTCGTGAAAACGCGCATAACAATATCGACGCTGCACATGTGCGCCACTGCACCGCAATAGCGGCATGGCTCGATTATTGATGAAGCGGAACGAAAGCCATCATACTCACCAGTGGGTGGCCAATTTTTTATATAGCCGGTGCAATGGACAACGGCGTAACTTTGGCCGTCCCTTGCCGGAGGTCCCAGGGAATTCCTCTGTTTCATACGATGGAGCCCGTGGGCAGCGGCCATGTCACCGCTCGTCTGAAGATTGCCGACCTTCATGCGACAGATGAAGCCCCGCCTCGAACCCATGCACAGGCGCACCGAAGCTAAACACGTAAAAAAATGCTCACTCTCTCGATTTCGCTGGTTAAATTCTATCTTTTTTCTCCTCTATTTATATTATTATTATTATTTTTTTTTTTTTAATTTTATTTCTTTTTTGCCGATAAAGTCCTCGCGGGCCGTCAAAGTACATTGCGTTACTTTGACACGAGCGTGCACCACTCGTCGATGATACGACGATAAATGCTGATCGACACAAGAATGGGAAAGAGGAGAAGTTCTTTGCAAGATATACTAACATTGATGGCCCTCTCGCTTGACGGTGCCGGTCTTAAGGTCGAGGACGCGACCCGCGTGTTGTGGCTCGGCGGTGCTCAGCTGCTCCCGAACCTTGTCCGCGTCGTCAGGGTGTACCTGGTTGTAGAGACTCGTGCCATACCAGTCGCTCTGCGAGTAGTTGAGAACCGGCGCTACCGAGTCCGACACATAGATTATACGCCCGGTATCGCAACTTACGACAAAGAGGAAGCCGTCGGCCGCCTCCAGGATCAGGTGCTTCAGTTCTTGGTCCGTGAGAAAGGAGGGCTTGTAGGTGCCGTCGGCACTTGTGTTGCCGGTCCCTGGAATCATCGTCGATTAAATACGTAGCTTCGATAATGACGAATACACGAAGCTTGAAGGGCTACGTTTCCCGCTAGTTTTACTCAATTTTACGAACTTTTCCACTTTCCACGTCCGTGCGTTTACACGACTCTCGCGTTTAATGCTTGCGGTAAACGTCAATGGGTTCCCATTATGGATTTCGTGGACGGAAAAGCCGTTGTCAAATTTTACGCGCTTAACGCGCTCTTTGCCACGTATATTAATCGAACGATTGTCATTCGTTATTTTTCTGCGCCAAATAATCAAACGTGGCACGGCGATAAATTCTACAACATCATATTTAGCCGTTGAAATCGTTAATTCCAAGATCAAAGAAACACTTCTGCGCTAATAATAAATCGAATTCATGAGGAATTGTAAGCAAAAATAGGCTCCGTTTGTCTTTCGTTAATAAAGAAAAGCAAAATCAAGAAACAAAAACAAAAACAAAAACAAAGGCAAAAAAAAAAAAAGACCTTGGATTATTTTGTACGCTAACATGCTTTCGAATTAAATTTCAATTTGTTTGTAAAAAAACAAAAAAAAAAAAACAAAAAAAACAAAAAAAAAACAAAAAAAAAATCAAGGTAATTAATTTGCATTAACGGCGGATTAGCGATAAAGACTGCGTCGTTGAATATCAAATAAACACGAGTTATTTTACACTTTTAACGTCTAAATTTTGCTAATTTAAGATTTTATAGTAAACGCTATTCATAGGTTTATTTAAGCACGAGTGAAACGATCGTTTGTTATCAAACATTTATATCAAATTCAATCTCATATCGTTATTTTTACTAAAGTAAAATTAGGTTTTATGTTGATTTGTTTAGCTTAGATTGAAAGGCCTTAACCGTAAAAAAATTAAATAATAACGGCTTTATGAATCGTACGACATAAAGTTCTCTAATCTATCAATTGTCGATTACTTAATTGCTTTTCCACAGTCATCTATCAACAATAATCGTGTATCACTTCTAAAGATCGAGTGCTGAAATTGATCGAAAGCTAGCGTTCCACTTATAGTTTCATACTTTAATTTTGTGGCTCGTTAACGAGTACATTATTATTGCACGGGTGTAGTCACGTATATTTCATATAGGAGTGATTCCTGAGCGTAGCGTATAATTTTATGTCCCTCGCTAATTAAGCATAAAAGGTAATAATTTTAAATTTAAATTTATTAGCCAACGCTATTTTTCGTAATTTATTATTATGCTTTTAAAAAGCTACTCAGCCTATTTCCTCGGGGAATCGCGTCATAAACCCGACGAGTTTTTATAAAATTATATAATTATAAAATTCTTAAAC